CATAAAAGTGCAGTCCAGTCGAGCTTCCATGCGGTTTCTCTTCAGACCCTTCCCCTGTCCCCTCTGTGGGTCTGATCGAGTTCTGCCCAGGAGTGACATCTCAATAAAGCCTGTTCATAGGCCCTTTTAAATCTGCCTCCTTTGGCTGCATCCTGCCCTGCTTGATCTGACACTTCATTTCACCAATGACCCGCTTCTCCCAGTTCCTTTTCTAATCCGCATCTTCTGAGGCAACCTTTGTTGCCCTTCTCCCATGTTAATTTAGCTGAGTCATCATCTGTCAATTTCCAGGAAGCCCTCAGCGCTTTTCGGTTTCAGGAAAGTCTGCATCTTTCCCAACATTTATCTTTTGCTTTGCCATGATACTGTGCTGTGTCAAAACAAACACTGTATTTAGGAAGATTGACCAAAATAAGAATTCAACTGCATAGAGACTTTTGGACTTTTTGAACTTTTGAGCTACTTACTTTGTAAGTAGTCAGTTCATTAAAATGTTGTCAATGACAACAGTTCATATGTGATCATATGAATGATAAAATAGGTAAAATATGGAAAAAGAGGGGGAATCCTCTATATACAGAATCAGGACGTGGAAAGACTGTTGACAGTGCAGGACAGGGCTTCCTCTCCAGCCATAGCAAAAATACTCCTTGGAGCTTCTCACATGAATTTCAAGTTCATTCCCATTGTGAGCTACCTAGTGTGGTCATCTATGACCTGGAACTGGGTGTGTAATCCTTAGAGGTTTTCTTTTTAACTTTCCCAAGTCTCTATGTTGGTTCAACATTTGGAAATGTCTTATCTTGCTGGGATGTTATGGCAACAACATTAACAGCATTTCCCATCAGCCTTCTTTTATTCCATGGAGGACAAAGGGGTCAGATTCTGACTTTCCTATCCCTTGAAACCAGCAGTAGACGTGTAGTCCAGTTTTGACCTAGGAGATTTAAGTCTATGGTGGGGAGTCTAGGAAATATGTTTTACCTCCTGTGACAAAGGGAAGGGGATGTGAAGAAAGATCTCTCTTTGCACTATTCTCCTGCTTCTTGCCATTGATGTGGTCCGATGACCATATGATTCCTGGAGCTGCAGTAGCTGGGACCAAGAGGTGACAAGCCTAAGGGGAAAAAGCTCAGAACCTGCAGACTGGTGTGGAAGGACAGAATCTTAGTTTTTGTTAATGTTACTGAACTGCTGATTAACTGTTAAATTACACATCTGTACATATCTGTAATCCTTATTCAATGTATTGCTTTGCGGTTTATCCACTGTTCATTGGGTTATCTATCTGGTGAAAGCATTCTTAGTGATACAAATCATTCATTCAACAAATATTTACCCAGTAACGACTATGGGCAAAGCACTGCTTCAGGATCTGAGGCTATACCAGTGAAAACAAAACTAAGTCCTTGTTATCATGATGCTAACATATTCATGGCAGTGGGAAAGAGAAAACAAATAACTGGATATCAGGCTGTGATAACAGCTGTGAAGAAAGGCATGTAACAGGACAGAGCAAGGATTAGTTTACATGGAGAGTTTGGGAAGGCCTCTCTGACAGGATGATATCTGAGAAGAGATCAGGAGGAGAGTAAGCAGTGAGGGTGTCTGGGTATGACCCACAGCTTCTAAGTTGGTCCCTGAAGAYCTGCCTCCTGGTACTCATGTGCTAGGTAAGTCACCCTTGCATGTGGGCTGACTTACTCCTTCCTAAAGAACAGATGATAGCAGGGAAAGATACCATCTCTGAGATTAGAAGAGTGAGTTCTAGTTTGAGTACCCTAATATTATTATTATCAATTTTTTAAGATGGGGTCTCCCTATGTTGCCCAGGATGGTCTTGAACTTGTGCGCTCAAGGTATTCTCCTGTTTTCATCTTCTGAGTAGCTGAGACAGACATGTGTCACCATGTCTGGTGTGGGTATCCTCTCTAGCTTGCTAGTTCTGGGGAAGAAAGTGGTTGCAGCAAGTGAGAGCCCTATGGAGGGGCCTGTGACACAGGTAACCAAAGCTTGTCAACAACCACATAAGCAAGTTTGAAAGCGTATCCCCCTCAACCCAAAGTGGAACCTGCAGATATGACTACAGACCGTGCTCATAGATTGAGTGCAACCTCCCAAGAGCCCTTGAGCAAAGGCACCCAGCTGGCTTGGCCATACTCTTAATTCCTGACCACAGAAGCTGTGAGTTCATAAATGTCCACTGTCCGAAGCCACTAGGTTATGAGGTATTTAGCTATGCAGCAAAAGGTAATGATGTGATCCAGAAGAGCATTCCACACAGAGGTTAAAAGTAAGTGCAAAGGCCTCAGATCAGAAATGTGCTAGATGTGCTTAGGGAACACCAAGGTAGCTGATGTGTCTGGAACAGAGTGAGCAAGGGACAGAAACAGAAATTAGTGGAGGTGGACCAGTTTGGGTCTGAAAGCAAGTATTGCTAAGAAGTCGAGAATGCTCTCTCATGAGAGTACCCATATAATACACATTAAGGCATAAATTATTAACAAGTCCTTTTAGTTTTCTCTGTGATGCCTGCTTATTAAATCACAATGCTACTTAACAGGCTGAATTTCACATTATTTTCTGCAGTGATATGGTCTAGCTTGGGAAATGAGAGAGGAAAAAGGTGAAAATAATGGACAATGGGTGAAACAGTCACCTTCTGAGTTCTTCCTCTGAAGAGCAAACTAACCCAGAAGGTCTTTGCAGGATGAATCTCTAGATTCATAAAGACAAGGCCAAGTTATAACTGCTACCAGATTTTAGACAGTAGAATAGGGCAGTGGGGACCCGGAGAAAACTGCTTAAACAAAGCAACATTACCCACCCTCTTCCCCAGCTCTCCCAACAGCCAGACAGATATACTCAGCACCTGCATGCTCAGTATGACACATTCAAGCTCAGATCTGGAATGATGACACAAGTCACGACTTTTGTGTGTCAATCTCTTATTTTAATCCTTATACCTTCAATCAAGAATCACACTGTAGATACCTTTAAAGATCACTATAAGGAGAGTATAAGAAAAGAATCAAATGTGTTTGGCAATTGAAAAACAAGTGTTATGATCTTTATTACCTAGACTGTCTTATCTAAAAATCTATTAATGTTCCTGTTAAATTTTAATATAAAAGCAGAATGTGGCTTACATTTAATATATTTTCAGTGAAATAAAACTCATTGTCATCTGCCTTCTCTCATGTAGAACAATTGATTTCTATCTCTTTAGTGTAAGCATTTCTTGTGAAAATTTTGAAGACTCAAGTTAAAACCAGACTAACTGAAAGAAGGAAATCACTCACATTATCACATGTAAGTTACATTACTGTTGGTACTAGATCTCCTAACTTGAATTAGTTATATTTTCCATGTAACAAAGAGAATTTCCACAACTTGCATGAATATTATTTGGCTAGGGTATTTGGTAAACAATTCTACCACTGGATGAAAAATCGACCCTGAAGAAGAATGAAAGAAACCATCATTAGATGCCTAATCACATTACAATGACCTATGAAGTGGGTAGAGGGATTTATAAGTCCTTAAAAAAATTACTCTAGAATAAGTTCTAAATACAATAAACATTGTAGCTATATCAAATAATTCTTCAGAGGTTGTTTGGTGCAAGAGATGAAGAAAATGTACAAAGACCAGTCTTCTTAATACTATTATTCTATTGGCATGAAATGGAAACTAAGATCTGTCAATGTCCCTATTATTATTTTACGAGTTATAAAGTTGTCATAATTTCATTTCTAAGGATTTGGGATGGAACTGGGATTTCACTTGGGGACAGATACCATGCTTTCAGGAATGAAACATGACATCATCACACACCAAATAAATACAGAACAAAAATTTCTTAAGCAATTAAATTGTCCTGAACAAAGCACCATTGATCCTACACAAAGGATAAAAAATTCTAATTTTATCCTTTCACAGAATCTCAGTTCCATTAATAAGGAAGCACTCATTGGTCTCCACAAATCTATTATCATGAACAAAATATAATGGTCATTGGACAAGATAAATGTGAGAGGCAAATCTCTTCCGGAAAAGTTCTGTAATGAGCCTGATCATACTAGCCCGATTTATGACTACTAAGAAAGACTGGTGAAAGGTAACTAGGGTAGGTATCCCTAGTTGTGGACAGAGGCAGTAAACATGTCTCCCTCACCGCTGTCCCGGCCCTCTTCACTCACGTTGGAGGGAGCTCCATGTACGTTAAGATCAGGTTCCATTACTGGCTCTGTGCAATTTATTGAGTTATTTTTATTGGGCAACCATAAAGGAATTAGAGGCTGCGGAACATTTTGTTCGAAATGCAAAGGACTCTGGCACCACAATGTTAAAAGTGAGGGAATTAGGGAGCAAGAGAGGAGCAAAGACTTGCCCAAACTCACAGCGCGTGAGAGAACTAGAATTCAAACCGGGTCTCGCAAAAGCACTCACTAATCACTTAGTTTTCTAGAGGAACAGCCACACCAGCACAGCATTGCCCCCGGAAACTTGCAAGGAACAGATGCGGGCCAAGCAGCCACGCTTCTGGCAGCGGGCGTTCCCAGAGCGCCAAAGGAGAATGCAAAATGATTTCCAAGTGGAGCTGAAGCGCTGGACTGGCCTCTAAGCCCTCCTGCGCAGGTCCCCTTCCAGACCRTAAGGTATGCTACTACAGAACCCCCGCCGCAGCGCGGCCCGGCCGCCGGGGAGGGGACGCGGGACTTGAAAGGAGGGCGCGCGCCCCGCCCGACTCACCTGTCAGCGGCCCGCGCACCCGCGCACGCGTAGGGCCGGCGATCGCGCGCGGGGTCCACAGCCCGCTCCCACCCTCGCGTTCCGCAAGGATTCCTGCCCGCGGCCCCAGATCTTGAGGTGGCCGGACCCCGGCTTCCGCCCGTGCCTCTCCAGGTCGTCACATGACCGAAGAGGTGGACAGCAGGGCGGGGCGTCACGTGACCCCATCMGCGGGCGACGGCTGATGACGCAGGAGCCCGCGCTGGCCGTTGCCGCGACTGGCTTTGCGGAGAGGAGTTGGGGTCCGGGTGTGTGTGCGGACTCCGGGTGCAGCAGACCGAGTCGGGTGGCGCTGCCAGGTGAGGCGGGAGCGGGGGATGGTGGTGGCCAGCGCGGCGGGAGTTGTCGCCTAGCTCTGGGCGCGCCGCAGGGTCGGACCGGCCCCGGGTCGGCTAGCCCGGGGCTGCGGTCCTGGCCCCTGTCACCTCAGCGGGGCCGCCGCCGCGTACCCAGGCTGGGAGAGGCCGTCCCTCCGTCCTTCCGCGCTGTGTGTGTCGGGGCGAGGGGGACAGACAGACTGACGGACGGACCAGGAATTATTCAGGTTTGAACCGGCTTTAAAAGCAGGGCCAGGAGCCATTGGTTCAAATAAAAGTTTCGGGGTCTCAGTTTCCTTTTCGCTTCTCGAGATTGGTGTGAGGATTAGCGGTAGTGAGAACCRGGCGCCAGGGCACAATTTGTGGTCCCTTGTAGGTGACCGAGAAATGGTGGCGTTTTTATTGTTTCCCTGACTTTCAACAAATCTTTATTGGTTACCTATTTTGTATGAGAAGCTGTTTAACAGCCCCCAGAATATGTCAGCACTTTAGTTTAGGGAACTCCGAGGGTGAAGGAACCACAGACATCTGAGCAAGTAGCTGCGAAGAGTTTTACGTGGAAGTGTGTGTGTACGTGAGTGTGCTAGGGACAGTGGTTACATGAGAGAGGGAACAAACGACTGCATGAATAAGAGAAGGCTTCCGGGAGAAAGAGGTTTCTTGGCATGCTAAGAAAGGAGACAGGCTACCAGGGACTTACAGGAGGCCAGCACGTTGTCTAGGAAGTGTTTACTCGGAGCCTATGGTGGTGACATACAGTCAGGTGAGAAGAGGCAAGAGAAGCATTTTTATTTTCCCATTAATAATTGGCCTTACCGACAGGGCCAATTATTAAATCATGTGATATAATAAAATATTATATGATTCCCTGTATAAGAAAGACAGAAGGTAGTCAAGGTCAGAGTCAGAAAGTACGATGTGGTTTCTGCTTTCTCCAGGAGCTAGGAGCCCAGGAAATGGGAGTTGTTTAATAGTTGTAAAGTTTTAGTTTTGTGAGATAGAAAGAGTTCTAGAGATTGGTGGTATAACAGTGTGAATGTACTTAACACTGCTGACTGTACACCTAAAAATGGTTAAGATGGTAAAATTCTGTTATGTGTAATTTAACATTTAAATTTTTTTTTTCAGTTTAGCAGGGTCATAAAGCATATGCGACTAGGATGCAAAGAAAAATGTGTGCCTTAAAAGTAATGCAATGGATATTTTTAAAAGGGACAGATTATTCCAGGTTGGGGTGTGCAGCTGCATTAATGATGGAACATTTCAGATGGGCTTGTGACAGAAGTTGAGTTTCTGATTCTTCCCTTAAGAACTGACAGCTTGATAAGAGCACAGGGTTAGGGTGCAGGAAAGGGATTCCAGAGGCCAGATGATATTGGCACTCCATTACAAGGGACTGGGACAATCCAAGGAAGAATAATAGGAACAGTGCTGGTGAGGCAGCGTTGTTGAGAGGAAAATATAAGTATTCACATGACTAAAGGAAGAGAGCTGAGTTATTATGAATGGCAAATCAAAGAATATGAAGAATATTCCAGGCTCGCCAGGGGAGGCAAATAGCATGCAAGGGAAGAGCTCATAAAACATATCAATTTGTTTTAAACTGTCTTGGAGCTCATAGGTCTCCAAGGTAACATAAAGATTGCTGTTACTTGGGGAACGAACCAAGAAGAGATTGATCTAAACCAATGCATTGTGGATATTTGGGGGCATATGATTCTTTTTAGTGACCAGCTGTCCTGTGCAGCCAGGTTGTTTAGCACCCTCCCTGGCCCCTGTCCACTAGTTGTTAATACTGCCTGCCGATCCCGCGCCCCAGCAACCAAAAATGTCTCCACATTGTTGCTAAATGTACCCTGGAGTATGGGCAAAGTGACTGCAAAAAGCTATACTCATGTCAGGGAAAGTGAATGTGTGAAAGTATCAGAGTCAGTTCAGCTGCTGTAACAAAACACCATAAACTGGGTAGTTTATAAACAACAAAATTATTTCTTACAATTTTGGAGGCTGAGAATTCCAAGGTCAAGGGGCCATTAGACTCAGTGCCTGATGAAGCCCTAATTCCTGGTTTGTAGGTGGTACTTACTTGGTGAGTTCTTGCTGGTAGTGGGATAAGGCAGCTCTCTGTAGAGTCCTTTATAAGGGCACTAATCCCACTCAGGTGGGTGGATCTAATCACCTCCCCAAAGCCCAGCCTCCTAATACGAACCTTGGTATTAGTTTTCAACATACTTTTTGGTTGGGGGAGCACAAGATTCTAGCAGATGGTAGCAGATTCTAAAGTGAAGAGGGGATGGTATTGTCATGGTGGGGGCAGGATGAACAAAGTCTTGAGCTGGAATTACGAGTAGTGTATGTGAAGGAGAAAATAAAGGAAAAGCGATTAGGGTCTGACTGAGGCAGATGGTTGATTGATTCATTTAGAGGATATTTTCTGAGCTCTTGCTATTTGTGAAGCACTGTGAACATCATGGTAGATAGTAAGTAGTGTTTCACAAAATAGAGTGACTGCGAAATCATGTCAGAGAAGGTGTTTGAGTCAGGGATTGCCTTTGGTTTACAAACTTAGTTTTACTTATTGGGAAGAATTGGAAAAAAAAAGTATGTCTATTCCATCTTTCTGTTTCATTTATTCTCTTTGCTTCTCAGTCCAGATAACAGAAGGTCATGACTAGTTTTTCTCAGTTCTCTGTAGGAGTGAAGTTTCACTGGAGTAATGTGAATTTCCTATTCAAACAAATAATAAAGGATAACTACTGTGTGGTAGGTTTCTTTTTATCCTGAACTACATTAACCCTTATGTATAAATTATGTCTTAATTTAGACAGTTACAACAAAATACCATAGAATTTTAGGTGACCTAAACTACAGAAATTTATTTCTCATAGTTCCAGAGGCTTAAAGTTCAAGATCAGGATGCTAGCTAGTGTGGTTGGATTCAGGTGGGGACTTTCTAGGAAGATAGCTTGCAGGTGGCTGCTTCCTTACTGTGTCTGTTACCAAGGATTGAACTCAGGGGTGCTTAACCACTGAGTCACATCCCCAGTCCCTTTTTATATTTTATTTAGAGACAGGGTTTCACTAAGTTGCTTAGGGCCTCCCTATGTTGCTGAGGCTGGCTTTGAACTTGTTATCTTTCTGTCTCAGCCTCCCAAGCTGATTACAGGATTACAGGTGTGTATCATCTCACCTGGTGGGTCTCGTCTTGTAAAGTCACTCACTAGCCCATCATCTACCAAACAGRAGAGTGTGTGTATGGAGAAAGTGTGAGAAAAGATTTTTATGGACTGGCCCTAGAAACAGCTCATTTTTCATTGCCTTGAGTACAATCATAGGCCACACCTAARTGCAAGGAAAACTGTGAAGTGCAGTGGTTCAACAGCTGTTTGACTAGGTTGAAGAAGAAATGGCTTTGGTGGGCACCAGCTGATATCTGTCACAAGTGTCCTGTCTTTAGTCTACCTTGTGAAATAGTCTTATGAAACAGTCCTAGGAAGTTTGCTGTTGCATTTATTGTAGGGATATTACTGAGAATTTTTTAATCGTAACTCTTTTTATCTCATAATAATTTGTACTGCCTTAGTGGTCTGGAAAGCTTTATTTTTCCTATGCTCCTGGTGTACTTTCTTGTTCGTGGGAAAAGTAACCTTCACTTTTGTTTTGATTGTCAGGAAGTTCACAGCTAAATTTGTATTACAAATGTAATGCCCTGTAGAATCCTAGAGCCTTCATGGCTGCATTCTCTCTCATATACTTGGTTTTCCCTTTAATKTCTGAGTTTTGACTCTGATTTTAAAGATTTTGTATTTTTACATGTTTTTGGATACATTTTTATTTATATTATATAAAATAATCCAACTTGTTTGGGGAAATAAAGTGGGATTCTAAATAAGCACCCTCTTTCACCAAATGCACGTGTTTAAAAATCACCTTTGGGTTTTAATTTATATTCATATTTTCTCTCTTTTGGTGTGAATTTTAAAACCTCTTTTTTTTTTTTATTTGTTTATTTTTATGTGGTGCTGAGGATCCAACCCAGTGCCTCACAGGTGCAAGGCAAGTGCTCTGCTGCTGAGCTACAGCCCCAGCCCGAGAACCCTTTTTGATCCCCAGATTTTAACATCTATAGCATTTTATCATGTTTGCTTCTGGTCTTGATTTTTAAGGTAAAGTTTTTAAAATACATAAAGCTAAAAGTGTATTTGATGACACTCAGGCTCAAGTGGATTATTCTTTATCCTTCCCTGACGACCCCCTACACTATCCTGCCAAGGAATGAAATCCAGTTTTCTTTCCTTCCCTTTGTCCCTGTATGCCAGGTGAAGGGGGCTCACCCCACTTTCCTACCTCATGACCACTTTTCATTATAATTTTTTTTTCATGTCAGATGCTCTCTCTGGATAACTTTCCTCAATCCTAATCTAGCTTAACTGCCTTCTTATCATTGAAGACCATGTCTTCCCTCAGTTATGCTTGTGGTCATTTCTTTTTTGAACCTCTTAGTGTACAGGGTTTTGAAATCTCTTTCTCTTTTGAATTCATARTACTTGGTTTATTTTTCTAATATGCATGTGTTCTCTTTCAAGCTTGTGTTGAAGGGTTGTTGCAGAAATGGATTAAATTTTCTCAGAATATTGAGTATTTATGGTTACATGGAATATATGTTTTGGTCTTGGAAAAAGGCTTTGGATTTGTGGAAGGCTTTGGATACTCTGCTCATAATGCCAAATTTTATTATATAGGCAACATGGAGTTAAGACCAACCTTCCTTCTTTTTATTGTCTGTTTTCGTTATTGGCATCCCTGTCTCTCTTGTCAGCAAGTGCAAATACCCTAAGGTGAAAACATGCCTAGGTTATTAAAGTCACACTTTGAAAAYCACTGCTCTACAGCACCTGACCATGTGCTGTAGAGCAGTGGTTTTCAAAGCGTGACTCCTGGATCAGCAGCATCCGCATTACTGGAAGTTTGTTGGAAGTTCAGGTTCTTTGGTCTAATACCTACTGAATTAGAAATTGCAAGGTTGAGGCCCAGCAATCAGGGTTTCAGCAGCCCTGTCAGGTGATGTGCTAACACTGAAGCCTAGGTATAGCACAACAAGAATTACATAGAATGTCTTCAAACACAGGTTGTTAGGACCTGAGAATCTGCATTTCTAACAAGTTCAGAGGTGATACTAATGCTACTTGGTTATGGACTATTTGGGGAACCACTGTTGGTATGAAGCCCTTTGGGTATCATTTGATATGAATCAGGAAGTGGGGAGAGGGTTTTGAATAGGGGAGCCACTTGATTTTATGTACATTTTCAAATTTTCTTTCAGGGTACTGTTTTGAGAATTGAGTGGAAAAGATAAAGTTGGGATCTGGGAGACCAGGTTGGAGGCTGTTATGGTTTGGATCCTTAATGTCCCTGGGAAAGCTCCTATGTTAATGCAAGAATGTTCACAGGGGAAATGATGATCAGATTCCAAGAGCTGTAACTGCATTAGTGAAAGTACCACTATGCTGGATGGGTATGGCTGGAGGAAGTGGGTCACGGGGGGGGGGGGCATACTTTKGGGCATTAGATCTTGTCTGCAGCTCCTTGTACTGTCTTTCTCTGCTTCCTGGCTGCTAGGCTCTAAGCAACTTTCCTCTGCCACACCATTTCTCCATGATGTTCTGCCTTGCCTCGGGCCTGGAATAATGGATTTGGCTGACCATGTACTGAACCTCTGAAATCATAGCGCACCAAATAAACTTTTCCTTCTCTAAATTGTTCTTGTCAGATATTTTGATCACACCAAAAAAAGCTGACAAACACAAAGATAGCGTTTTGAGTCAGGTAGTAACAGTAGAATTGGTGAGAATGGTTGGATTCTGACAAAAGTTTTGATGGGTTTGATTTTGAGGAGAGGGGATAAAATATGATCAAGGTTTTTGATTTAAAAAGTGGAAGGATGGAGTTGCTATTTAGTAAGATGGAACCTGCTACAAAAGGAAAAGGTTTGAGAGCGGGTAGGGAAGTGGGAAGGGAGGTGTTGGGTGTTCAGTGTTCTTGTTGATAGTACTTATGGCTGGGAGCCCTGAGTGGGTGGGAGAGGATGGAGAAGAGAGGTGACCAGGGCACTAAGCCTGAGCCTGCCAGCATTAGGATTTGCCAGCATTGAGATTTGGGAGGGAGAGGTGCACTRTTTTTAGGTGTCGGGGGGTACACGTCATGTTTCACTCCTTTATTCTTTCACCWTAACTTTACTGAATGGCTATGTGTGCCACTCCATTTTAGGTGCTTGACATAAAGCAGTGAACACAACAAAGACTTTGTCCCTAAGGAACTTGTAGTCTAATTGGGAAGTAGATACAATAAACATGATAAACAAAAGAATGTTGTTTGGTAGTATCTCTTGTGAAGAAAGATAAAACAGGAGAAGGAGAAGAGGGAATGACCTGAAATCTGATGGGGATGGGGAGCACTTGCTATTTTGCATAGGGCATCCAAGGTAGGCATTTGAAGGGAGACCTTAGGGAAGTGAGAAAGGAGGCAATGTAGATATTTAGGGGATAGGTATCCTGGCAGAGGAAACAGAAGCATGGCCCTGAGGCAGGGTTGTACTTGATTTTTATATAGATGGAAAAAATTCTGAATGCTGAGGCCCTCCATCATATGGCACTCAGGCAGATGCAGAGGAACAGCAGAGAATGAGAACCGTCTATGGATAGAAGAGCAACTGGGCAGGGGAGGCAGGTCAGAAAGTGCACCAGGAAGGAGGGATGATGAACTGTGCCAGATGCTATTSATTGATAGGTCAAAGGAGATAGGGACTGTAGTAGTGACCTTTGTAAGAGCAGTTGCATCTGAGTGGTTGGGGTGGAGTCTGAATTCATGATTCCAGGAAAATGTCTTTCTGTTACCATACAGCCCTTAGGAACAGCCAGCCTCCCAGCCTAGTAAGCCTCTGTGGGTTTTACTTTTCTAATTGGTTTCAGTTTATTGAATTTCAGATGATTTTTGAATTAAGCAAACATGTCTTTCTGTAGGCACTTTACATAAAGAAGTCCAAAGCTTAAAGTTTGGTTGGTTGAAGGTAGAGTTTTAGGGAGTTTAATAACTGAATCTGCTAAAATGGATGAATTAACAGAAGATGAGAAGTCTACACAGAAATTTTGCTTTTATTGAATCTTGGGGTCTCCCAAGTTTATAGATGTGCTAGAACTTGGAGAASCTGTCAGGTAATTTTTACAGTTTTCAGAATTCAAAGTGCAAATATATCTGATAAGTTACAAATTACAGATTTTTGCCAGGTGTGGTGGCGAATGCCTATAATCCCAGCTGCTCTGGAGGCTAAGGCAGGAGGATAGTGAGTTAAAAGCCAGCCTCAGCAATGATGAAGCAACTCAGTGAGACCCAGTCTCTAAATAAAATACAAAATAGGGCTGGGGATGTGGTAGAGTGGTTGAATGCCCCTGAGTTCAATCCTTGGTATCTCCCCACCCCCCAAAATTATAGATTTTCAAAATCCTGCCTTATTAGGCTTTTATTATTATTGTTTTTTTGTTTTAGAAAAATGCATCATGGGTAACCTGTTTTATGTTTTAGGCTGTTACTGAATTCTTCAGAGAATCAAAGAATCTTTTAGAAGAGGGTATTCTACCTGCTTTAAAAAATGAAGACAGTTACCTCATCCTGTGTTGTGTGCATCGGTATTTGGTGGCCCAGATGATGGCACGATGCTCTYGTGTCCTCTCAGGGGACACTGAATGGAGATAATAGTATGGCACCTGGATATTGGATGTAGTCATATGATTATTTACAACTTTCCTATTTTCATATATGGTTATTTTTCTAACATACAACTCTTGTTACTCTGTTTAAAATTTAGGTAATAATTCCAAGATGCCAGGACGTTCCAGTTCAAGTTCAGGTTCAACTGGTTTCATATCCTTCAGTGGTGTAGAGTCTGCTCTCTCTTCCTTAAAAACCTTCCAATCCTGTATCAGCTCCGGAATGGACACAGTGTCTAGTGTGGCTTTGGATCTTGTGGAAACTCAGAGTAAGTAAAACTTAAAGCTCATTTCTTTTTTTTTCAGGTGCTGAGTATGTGCTAAGCAAGTGCTCTGCAAATGAGCTAAATCCCTAACCCCTAAAGCTTGTTTTTTTATATCTACTTTAAGGAAACATTGTGTGGTAGCATTACTCTAAGGATGTCTTTTGAATATTCTTGGGACAGTCATTTAGTCCCTCTGTACATCTGTTTTTATACCTTGTTCTGTACATCACATGCCAGTGTACTGAGGGTGAACTAGACTGATTCATTCCTGTGTATTCACGTGGTTGTGCTTCATTAGAGACTACACTAGAAATAGATGGTCAAAGACATGAAAGCTTCTGATCTCAGGGGACATGCAGTTCCCAAAGATTGTGACATTCATGAACTCTAAGGTCTGTAAATGGGTTGTGTTACTGTTCTTTTCCAGATTGTCCATTCTTGATTATCCAACAGATGGACTAAGKTAATGCTAGGGATACCAGCGAAGGAAGCTCTCTGCAAAATGAGAGAAGTTCAACTTTGATGGACTTTACCCTCTTTTTTTTTTTTTTAATTAGAAAATCTAGAAATACATTGCCTACTTTCTTTGGATTAGAGTTGTTTATTTTATATGACATATGGAGGGGAGCAACATAATCTTTTTGTTCTTAATGACATTCACTGGTTTTGAGCAACTGGTGATGTGCCTTGGTGTGATTGTCTTTGTTTATCTTGTCTGATGTTCTTTGAGTTTTGTGGATCTGTGGACCTTATCATTTACACCAAATTTTGGGAGCCTTTCTGCTATTGTTTCTTCAAGGATTTTTCCTGTCTCTCCCATTATTCCTAGGATTCTAGTAATGTATGTGTTAGGCTATTTGATATTGTCTTATAAATCAGTGGGGCTTAGTTTGTTTATTTTTTCAATCCTTTTCCTCTGTGGTTTCAATTTGAATAATTTGTTTTCTTTTTGTGGTTTGGKGCTGGGGATTGAATCCAGGGCCTTTTGCATGCCAGGCAAAAACTATACCACTGGACTACATCCTGGTCCCTCAATTTGATTAGTTTTTATTACTATCTTCCAGTTCATTCCTCTTCTGCAGTGTCTAATCTGTTAATTCTATCCAGTGGATTTTTAATTTCAGATTTTTAATTTCTTTCAGTTGTTGAAGACATAATAAAGAATTAAATGGAAACTCTTTTCCCTTTCTATTTCTGTCATGCTTATGTTTTCTTCTGCATTCTTGAATACATGAAGTCTGTTTATAATACTGTTTTAGCATTTTTGCCAGCTAATTCTGTCTATAGCTGCCTCATCCTAAGGACATTGTGAGTATGTATGTTAAAGACTATGAATTTTTTTTTAAATAAAAATGAATACGGTTTTTACTGRCTTTAAAAGCAGGACTATGAACTGTTCATTCAAATAAACTCTCCAGGTTTCAGTTGTTTTCCCATTTTCAGTAATTACAGTATCATTTTGCTGTTGTCCCACTGTCTGCAAGCAGTTGTTTATGGCAGTGGACTAGTCCCATGCTCATGGCTAATAGCAGAAGTCACCATTTGTTTGATGTGTGGCCRTTATAAGTTTTAATTCTGCCTCGCCTGATTTGGTGGTAATGGATATTTGGCTTTGGTAGGTAGGCCTGGATAAAAGTGATAATAAGATCTTAAGCCATAAGAAAGAAGAACTAGGGCACATACTCCTTGGGAATTGTATTAGTTTCTTTTCAGAATTTACATTGAAAATGTGTAGGTGTTTTAGCAACAGTTTTGTATTTGTTTTATTTGATTTCAAATAAGAAGTATATTTTGATATAAAGCACAATATACTTTGTATAATTTTTTAAAATATTTTTCTTTTTAGTTGTAGACAGACACAATATCTTTATTTATTTATTTTTATGTGGTGCTGAGGATCGAACCAAGTGCCTCACACATGAGAGGCAGGCACTCTACCATTGAGTTACAGCTACAGCTCTACTTTGTATAATTTAAAAATAAAAATGAGCACAATTTTTCCAAAAAGTTTGTATTCTCAAGCAGGCCTCTGCAGTTACTCTATAAAGAACTGCATAGCAAATATTTTCAAAGAGTTGTGAGCCATGTAGTCTCATAAACTTCTGCAATTCTGCTGTTGTAGTGCCAGAGCCACCATGCATTGTATGTAAATGAGCGGAAATGGCTGTAGTCCAATAAAACTTTATTTATAAAAGCAGCCAGTAGGCCAGATTTGGTTCACAGGCCATAGTTTGCCAACCCCTCCTTTAGAGCCATAGTTATTAAATATGTATTTAAAAAATGGGTTACTTTTTGGGCTGTGGTTGTGGCTTAATGGCAGAGTGCATGCCTTGCACATGTGGGGCCCTGGGTTTGATCCCCACCACCACATAAAAATAAACAAAGATATTGTGTCCATGTATTAGTAAAAAATTTTTTTTAAAAAATGGATTATTTATTTTGATTATTTGGATTAGTGTTGTAACAAATACATGGTTTTTCATTTACCAAGAAAAGCTAATTTAAGGTAAATTGTAAGAAAGTTATATGGGGAAAAATGGGATAAAGAGCTTTGAGAGATGTAGAGTCACCAGGAGCATAGAATACTTGTGAACTGAGTATACATATGCATACATAACAGAGGCATACAAAAATACACATATACACATTTTATTTAATATCATCAGTCAGAATAGTAAGGTAGTCAGTGAATATGTATCCAATGACTGTTCTTTGTATAATTGAGTTCTAGGTCTTAAGAGGACACTATTATTAAATAGTTCTCCCTTCACAGAGCTCACCATCGTAATGGGACATAATAAAATRAAGAACAATGGGAAAACTGAAAAGATGTTACAAGCCTACAAATAATTAATGTCACCACTGATCTCATCAAAAAGTCATAAATTCTCAGATTTATAAGTGTGAACACAAATTCTTCAAAATTTAATTTTTTCTTTAAAAATCTCATTAGCAACAAATATTGTTAGTTGTCTCTGAAGTTAACAGGCTCACTTTATTCATTTTCAAGAAAATGTCTGCCAGATAACCAAGTGTCAGTTTCCAAGCTTTTCTCCTGAGATAGCCATCTTTTTTTGATATGCAGCAGAAATGTTTTATACACACTTCCTATTTTATCATAGAATATTAAAGGATATTTTCTTTTTTTTTTTTTTAAATATTTATTTATTTTTTAGTTATTGGCGGACACAACATCTTTGTTTGTATATGGTGCTGGAGGATCGAACCCGGGCCGCACGCATGCCAGGCAAGCGCGCTACCGCTTGAGCCACATCCCCAGCCCAAGGATATTTTCTTTATGCTTATGGTTGAGATTTAATAAACTTAATAAGTTGTACTAGTACATTAAGGACATTCTTAAGTGAAATTGGCATCTGTTTTACCACCAGTGAGTGCATGGTGAGGAATACAATTTGGTTTACGCTGAGGCTCCAGCAGTTTTTCTCACAAAACTGCTTTTGTGCCATTGGTATAAATATCCAATATGGCAAAACAAAATGTAACAAAGAAAAATAAGCAAATGATATCTTAAAATTATTATGAAGATAGTTTTGACCTATGGACTCCCTGAAAGGGTCCCAGGGATCATACTCTGAGAACCATTGGCTTATGAAACTAAGTTTTAGTGCTTATAAGCAGGAGGTAGATGACAGAAATTCTCTGCAGAGAGCAAGCCTAGGGCACTCCTCACTGGGATGTTTCAGCAAGAGCTTGTTAGGAGAGCAGTGTGTTAAAGAATCTTGGTTTAATATCATTAAATATTATAAAGCATAATTTATCATTTAAAAAATTTACTCACAAACTGAAGAAAATGTCCTTATGTTCCCAAATGATTTGTTGGTGTGCTTTTCTTCTTCTCAGAATTTCTAAGTGTACATAACAATTCCCAAGAAGGCATATCATAGCCAATTTTAAATTAAATGAGTTTTTAATGGCCAAATTACATAAAAAACCAAACTATAAAAACTCAAATTTTTATAGCAAAAATTAATATTTGACATGACACATTGTCCCATTGTCTTTTATAATTGACATTAAAAATTGTACAAACTTTTGGGGTACCATATGTACATAAATGTGAATACATTGTATAATGTTCTAGTCATGGTAAACATACCTATTTCTTTAGACATTTGTCATTTCTTTGTAGTATAAACATTCAAAATCCTTCTTTCTAGCCTTTTTTGAAAAAAATATATTATCTATATATTATAGATGACTAAATATTACATAATAATTACATTCTCCTGTGTAGTAGAGTACCAAAACCATTCCCCCTGTCTAATTGTGACCTTAGTGCCTGCCAGCTAGCCTTACCTCATCCCACTGTCCCCTCTGCCATCCCATGCAGCCATTCACAGCCCTGGTGATGTAGCGAATTGATTAGGAGGGAAAAAATATGCACATTTATGTGTATATATATATATATATATATATATATATATATATATATATACTGTTCTTTCATGTATTGAAAATTTGTATTCATCACCTTTTAGATCTGTTTCCTTTGTTCTCACTTTAGTACCCACCCATCCAAGAAGCACAGTTTTCATATTATGATGGTTAGTTATTAGGGAGTTAGTGCTGGTAGGAAGGAGCTTCAGAGTGAAATGTGAGGCAAGCCTGGACATCTGTGTCCTCAAGCAGGGCTAAACTCTCACATTTGCAGAGGTTAAACATTTAGTTGAGAGAATAGTTGGGATGCATCACCTTATTTTAGGAAAAGGGAGTACTCATTTTACTTTTACATTAAAAAAGTCTTGAAAATTTCTTACTTAATTACTTACTTGATATACCAGCACAAGCCATCTGATATTTTCAAGACTTTTCTCTTAGGAAGATTCACTATGTGAATTTTCACTATGTTGTAGTACATTTCTCCATCTAGAGAACTGTTTCCTTTTATTAGATTCTTGTTAAATCCCTTTGGCCTTTGCCCTGTGCTTTATTTCATAATTACACTATTGGATAGAAGCAGTAATTAGAAGTAGGTGGTTCTA